TTCAAATATTTTCATCTACTTCACACACATTAATATTGCCCTATTGGCGTGTCGTATAAAAGTTGTTTTAAGAGCAAAACTCAAAAGATACAACGCACTTTTTCATTTTACTTAAACGATTTCTGCGATTAGAAAAGAAAGAAAAGTTCCATCGTGTTGCCATTTATAACTGTAAACATATATCCAAGTTAAACAATGAGCACACACTGATATTCTGAATTAAATACTTTTACAACAAACGAAACACGGATTTTGCAATTCCATAAACATAATACACACCATCTATCATCGCACATCGGATATATCTAAAACCATAGCAGTGACAGGAGGTAAGAAAATCGTTCTGGTCAGATTCTGTTCTCATTTCACAGTTACATTGGAAATACTTACTTTGAAATATAAATGCGTCGTTTGGCAAAAAGTGTGGAGTATATCTTGGCGTATACCTTTAAAAAGATGACGAAATGAAAATCGGTTTCATTTTATGCCAAACATGCAACCTTAATAGTTGTTGTATTATCCACATTCCATATGTTTTTGTTACCAAACCAACATCATACTTATTCTTGGAATGTTGACGCCGTTTCAGTAGCATAATTGAATAGGCAAATTCTGTGAGTACGAATTGAAGTATGGTATGTGTATGGGTTAGAGTGAGCTCCCAATATATATATTTTGCTTTTTTAAGAATGTTTTTTTTTTTTACAGATATGGACATATAAAGATATATCCATTACAGAGGAAGGATGGTATGGATTTGTATGTCAACTTTACCAATACTGCACGGAGGTCAAACCCTGCAAGAATGTACATGTTTTTGATCATACTAAAGGCAGTACATCAGTCAATCCTGTTAAGGAATCCTTTAAGAACATCCTCATAAATGTTTTGCCTCCAAAATGTACTTAATATTTTATGACAAGAAATGGTTTTGTCCTTCAACCTGAGGACAAAACATGGCCAGAATTTAAGTTAATGTGAAATTTATGCAAAATAATGTTAAATGGAAACATGAGTCCCTTGATGCAAACGTGAACATTTTGGGAAGTGTTTTGTTTGGAAGGCTAGTCTACTAGTACATAAGGCTACACATTCGTGGCCGATCAGTGGTCATGGATTATCAACGTGGGATTCAACGATGCTTCATATGTATTGCAAATACATGAAAACGACACTCAATAGCAAATGTTCTTATTTACCTACCGTGAGACAAGTTATAGTAAAGTCTTATCCTGTGATAAAAGTTGTGATTAATATTTCAACTAAAATATTTATTCCATGATTTTTTTATGATTTCATATTGCCATTTTGTAAAGTTTTGTAAAGATGTAATTCCTGCTTGAACAGTAAGCCACTGTTTTTGTTACCTATAGGCGGCGTTCTGAAGTTTCCTGCAGTATATAACTCCATCTGTGGACACTTCCACAAGCATGAGAATAACAAAGTGTAATTGACTACGACATGCATGTAGAGCAGATTACAAATAATTTGCTGTGGCCTTTTTATAAAACAATGTATCATATATGGTAAAATTTGGTCGACGGAATGTGTAATTTTGGCAACTGCACTATATTGTACTAAAAGGGTCTATGATATTCCCACACTGAACTTTAAAATCATGGACATTAAAAATTCTATGTAGGGTTACCCATGGGGTTAATGATGTTGTTGCATGTGCTTGATGTTGAATTGAAATGTTATAGCATGCATTTGATGATGATATAAAACATCCTAAATTAAATGAATTTTGTCCGTCTCAAACAACAATCTAACTAACGAAGTTAATTATCTTTTGATAGATGTTAATTGTTCTATGTTACATGTGTTAAAGTTTAACACCCTTTCCGTTAATTACACTGTGACTAAGCATTTGCGGTTATTTATGAATCGCACTTTAGAACTTCAGTTTTTTTAGACTTTTACTGTATTAACGATCATGATAATGAAACTTCTTTTTATTGATTGTATTTTCTAAAGGTCTAGAAACATGCATTTACATGCACTGAGGTATGTAATTATTGGTTAATTGAATGTTAAAATGATTTGTGCATCATCATCAGTCTGTCTATAATCGACTCTCTTGTTAACAGTTTTTTTGTCAAAATCTTGTTTGATATTTAAGATAACGTGGTTCACAGTTTGATTAAAATAGTTTTAGGACTCCTGGTTTTTTAAGGGTTACATCGGAAGATAATATAGGTATGATAGGGGTCCCAATTAAATGATGCATTGGTTTGATTGCTATTGATAATTTTCCTTATAGAATCTGTTTAAGCTGTAAAAATTACAAGTGATGATATCGTTCTGAATTTTCATTGTTATGCAATAGTTACCATGATGATTGCAATGGGTACTATATAAATGTATTATTATTATTAAATTTGGAAAGAATGTTTTATAACTGTTTTTAAACACTCCACGAACCAATGCCACTAAGAGCAATTTTTCTGATTATGCTTCAACAAAATGTGATAATTGTTGAGTCCAGTGTCATTTTTCTTAATAAAAAACAAAAACACTCAGTGTGTTATGTACATCTATATTATATTTTATTATTTCAGTTTGTTTATGGGGACAGGGTGTTTGATATTTCAATCAATACATCAGTAAAATTAATAGTCGATGAATAGTTGCTATTGGATGACTGTATATTTGTATTCTAGTTTGCCAATGCATGTACATGTATTGTGATCAGTTGCCTTTCCAACCGAATACCATTTTCAGGACTCAGAATATAAGCGAATTGAAATGCTACCTTGGATTGTTGTAATTACCCACAGATGTATTGCTTCATGGACGTCCCTGCTGCATACCGAAAGGCCTTGAGCTACATAAATCTAAACCGAATATGTCTGATCCCCTACATGAGGCTTGTCAAGAGAAATGTGGGTGAAGTGAGGGTGATACAAGAGAACATAAAAAAAAAATCAGTGTTTAAAGCATATGTTGTCACCTCTCTCACGACAACAAACCGGACTCATCTTCATCAAAATGCAGCTTTTTTCTACACTCAATGTGCAGCATTCGTGATTCCTTTTTACGTAAAAACGTTTTATGTGCGATCACATCACATTGTTAACATGATTGCTGACATGGGATACTTTTATATCTGTTCTGTTCTTTGCCCATTGCTACCAGGCTTCACTCTGTATACCACATTCTCGATTTCCGTATGTGCAAACATTGGTTCTGTAGTTTTTAATTAGATAATGTTTGACAACTGATTGTATTCCAGCTTTGAAAACCACGGAATCTCTACGTCTTCCGTAGACGCTTAGATCAATTATCTAACGTTTTCTAGCGATAAATCTCTTAAATCATGTCACATTCGGAGACAAATTAAAACAGGATTTCTATTGGAAAGTAACGTTTGAACCTTTCATTCATGTTAGAAAGTTTAACCGGATTTCTGGTCTCTGTTTTGGTCTGTCGATCAACATTTTGTTGATGCATGTGACATTTGACTATTATAACGAACTATTATGATTCGACTACATTGCCTTTTTTGCGGGAGTGGAAGCAGATTTGCTACTGATGATTTTTCAACATCTAGATATGCCATTAAATGTCCTTCTTTGTTAAACCTTACGGTACTCCGTTAAGTGTTACATTTTAAGTATTTTCCATTCTTTAAAATGAATTGATTGCTTATAAAAATCTTTTAAGTATATCTTATCTCGCTAATGCTCGAAATTTTACTTCCCAGAATGTTGATTCTGTTCTATCTGTCCTTTGGACGAAAACTGCTGTCCGGGCTGACGACAAAAAATGGTTCTTACATCAGTATAACCCTATGCTACATAACTTCTCTTCTCATATAGTGTTTCCTGTGACAATTTGGCGAGAAAATCGGACGCAATCGTCGATACCACATTGATTTTATTTTTGGTACCATGTTCCAATCTTTTCTTGAGGTCATCTGATAAACGTCGGATAGAACGGAGAATGAGTTGCCTCTGTGATTAGAGGTCATCTAATCCAATAATACTATCAATAGTGCTTTCTCCGAAAACGGCGTCACCATTATAAATTTGATAATTTGCATATTTTCTCATAAGAACTCTTTTTGGGTAAAACAAGGTGCACGTGAACTATGGATTGATTCATTTACGGGATTACAACTGATTCCATGTGAATATTTCTTTGTGCACAACAGATGATTTGAATTATAATGTATTTACTTATTTTAACATAAACACACATATCCGGTGCTTTCTAACTTCCCGCCAGCCTCGGGAAAATACGTGTACATTCACACATTTTGTAATTATAACATTACAATGACGCATTCAAATTTCCAAGTTAGCGTTCCCAATGTAACGCACACCTTCCCGAAACAATAAGACCAGGATTTGGCTACATATAAGTAAAGACCCAAAGATATTCTTTCCTCCAGCCACCACTGCATTTTTGGTTTCTCGATTCGAGAGTAGCCATTTCCGGTGTACCAATGGCAGGCGGTAACACACAGCAAAGAGCAAAATAGTTTACACATTTAAAAACAAAACAATGAAAATCAAATATCCTTGATATTGTTTTCTGAATTTCTCGTTTCTATCGATAGTTTCAGACTTCTGTATACATGAACATGAGACATTCCAACTGACATGCCACCAAAAGAAAATGCTTTCTCTTAAATAAAAGACATTAATTTACTACAATACTAAGAAACATCAAAAACAAATTCGTATCAATTCGTTTTGTCTCAAATGTATATTTCGGAATGTTTACGGGATAAAATATTACATTTAGAAGATAAAAACACATAACAATCAACACGAAATGAAAACGTCTCATCTACTCTTAAAGAATAATCTGGTAATACTTTAAAATTCTCTAGCCATCTATAAAATAATATTTACCTTCATCGCCTGATGAAGAACAAATTGAGATATAAATAAACATCAACGTTTGTATCGTGCGAACGCCGTTACTAATGTAATAAGTCATTTGCAATTCACTGCACCTATCAGAAAAATAATTTGAAAATCTAATTTCTTTCATAAAGTTACAGTCACACATTCATTTCCTTGTAAATCTACTCCACGTGCATATGAACCGGAATTGTCATCACAATTGCTCTCGGATTTCTGAGACGACAATGACATCGGAGCCTGTAAGTCCACCATCTTGGTGGATTCGTTAGCAACCTCTCCTGATTCATGTCGCCGACATCGATGTGTGCACCTATAAAACACTAACAAATACGGAAACGTGTCGAATAAAGCGCGTTTAAAAGTCCTGTTCCTACATACGTATATTAGGGGATTCCATATGATCGAAGCTTTCGCGAAAAGGGATGGTAGAGTTCCAACAAAAGGATGAACATCATCTGCATATCCGAGTATTGACGTCATGGCAAACACAGAGTATGGTATCCATGATAAAAGAAATGCAGCTGAAAAACAACATTATTGATTTCAAATAAACAACCTTGTTAGATTTAAAATAAACAACATTGTTTAATTAGAAATAAACAACATTATTTAATCAGAAATAAACAACAATATTTAGTTAGAAATAAACAACATTATTTAATCAGAAATAAACAACAATATTTAGTTAGAAATAAACAACATTATTTAATCAGAAATAAACAACAATATTTAGTTAGAAATAAACAACATTATTTAATCAGAAATAAACAACAATATTTAGTTAGAAATAAACAACATTATTTAATCAGAAATAAACAACATTATTTAATTAGAAATAAACAACATTATTTTATAAGAAATGAACAACTCTCGCAGTCATTATACGCGGAAAAGATATTCTCACTCGCGCATGTAGTGACATTACTTTATAGATAAAGGACTGCTGTATAACGTTATCGTATCCCACACTGGGCCGAGAAATAAAGTCCGTTTTATGAAATAGAAATCTCTGTAGAATTAACGTTTGAATTTGCAATTAGCTAAGAATATTTGAATATATAGGAACTATTCAAAGATTTGTTGTTAGGTTTGTTACTGTGGTATCAGATTGACTGAATCAATAGGCTGTTCGATGGAGGTGGTTTTCAGGCCGGCAAGCTGGATGCTTTCGTTATTTGTATGTCTGTATACTTTGAAATCGATTATAAAGTAAACGCGCTTCAATTAAAAAAAAAACTGTAAATATAAGGATTAACCTTCAATTTTCTTTAAATTATCGAGGATTAACAACAATTCAACTCGAGTTAATCTTCCATTACCGGCTTCGCACATTTTTCTAATTGTTGTTAATCCTTTAATAAAATATTTCATTAGTAAATCAGAAATACATTATATTTTCTTATATTTTCAGAGGACTTCAACATGGATAGATGTAAACAAATAGATTTTCCGTGAATTAATTTTTTTAAGATACCTCTAAATACGCCTGAATGCATATATGTAGAAATTTAAGATTTTATTCTATTTTTCCGTAATATTTCTGAACATTCCATTGCAAGATTGAAATAAAAGTAAAATACTTAATAGGCAAGTCGAAAAATGACAGTGTTGAATGTTTCATAATATTTCTTTTGACTGCAATTGTGATTCGATTCAACACTTCATTATTGTCATGTTTTAATGACGAACTTGTGTGATCACCTTTGAAATAGCTCTCGTATATCTATCTAATCTATTTTATTCATAAGTTTACTCGAGGTATGTGGTGACACAAGCAAAACCGAGACAAAAAAAAAAAAAAAAAAAATCTCTCTTCTATAAAGGTGACAAAGGGTATGTTTCCATTTTTGAATTGATATGAATTTATCACACTTTAATCAATATATACTTAACATATCTTCAGTCACATAGCTTGGTGTGATTTTTTTATCATGTCGCCATCTATCAATAAAATATTGCCTGATGTCTCGTTTTATATGATTAGAAGTTACGACAGCTGTTTTGCAATAAACCATCAAAGAGGTATATTCTTGTGAGGTATGGTAGCGAATTTTAGGAGTCAGTGTATAGATTTACAGAGAAAAACAGCTATATGATAGAGTCAAATATGACGTCTTTGTTAGTGCTTTGAGAATAATTGATATTGTAAGAATTGCTGTCTTCGACACTTACAGACAAGGAGAAAAATGGTTTTCATCACTTTAACGTCCCTCCGGCTAGCTCGCTGATGATGCTGAAATCCTTTGTATTTCTGTGATATCGACCTTTGCTTTTTAATCTGTGAAGGATAAAACAGTAATATAGCACTGGAGATGAATGTTTTGATGATGGTAATAGTATATAAGGCACAAAGATGTGAAAACGACAACAAAACATCGATCGTTATCACTTACATTAATGAATTTCATAAAGAAACAACAAACGTGGTTTACTTCCAAGAAAACAAATGGATCCTCTGTCAACTTTTAATTTCAAGAAATAAACATGAATCGTGTGTAAGAATATTGTTTACATAACAGTCAGGGCATTACTCAGTGCATAGTGGTACTTTGCAGGCTATGAGGCAAGATATCTAACCATTAACGAAAAAGAAAGGTGAACTGCACGAGACTACATCCTCCAACAAATTATAAACAGAATGAATGGCTTTAAAAAAAAAAATGATCGAGCCCTGAATTGACCATCTGCCTCTTCTCTATGGGATAGAGTTGGTAGCAAGCGTATATTGATGGTATGAACCATTCCCAATAAACTTCCCACCACTCTTATCTATATAGCAGATCGCCTCTGATTACCATATCTGGTATAATCGTAATCTTAATGTATCTATACATTTGATACAAATTCACAGAAAAAATTGAAAAGATATAAGACTGCCACTGAAGCAGATTTCAACAATGATTTATGATCCACGAGGAACAAAATTATCAGTTCGGATTGCAAAACATGGATTTCATTCATTTCTCTAAAATCTGATATTTGAACACCAAATAACGTATGCGATGTATTAGTTTAAATATCAGACGTAGCAAAAATGATATTGTTTTTCTAATAATACCGCGTTCTTTGATTTAGAGGCAGTAAATACTGATAGCACCTATTGTCCTTGTACTTTCAAAGTGCAACGCGCAATATCAACTCTTATATTTTTTACCTGTGTACACTTTTTTTTACATAATTTTACGCGATATCATCTCAACTGCAAATATATATACATGTAGCGAAGATGGTCGGGTAATTAAATAAATACATATTGGTTTTTGCGAAACTTGACACATACAAAACTGAACGAATGCAATACACCTAGGAGCAATTAGGTGACGTATAACTCTAGCTACTTCTTTGGTGAGTGCTTGTCATTCTTCTTCACCAAGTACAGCTGCTCGGAGTCACTACCGCCGGTTAATCTTGATTTAAAGTCTGACAATTCTTGTGTACTAGCCATTCAGTAACAAGAGTTTTATTTTCATTCTACAGCTGTCCATGCTCTCAATACAGAGAATATATAATGATAACGTTGATAGCGGATGTCGGGGTGTTTTTGCTGGCTGCCTTAAAACATCTATTGATTGATTCTTCAGATAATATACAAAGACATAAAGGATACAGCTTTCGACTTGAATGGTTTAATCCGTGTTATTTATTTAGAATGGCTAAAAAGGATATCCATATATATATACAAGCCATTAGCATCACAGACGATGCTTTCTACTCACTGCTTTGAAATTTGCCAAATTTTCTTTTTAGACGCAGTGAAACCATACGTTGAACTAGTAGGTTTTTTTGGAATTTCCCTAATGTTGGTACTTACAAACCATTAAATAAGCGATTCTTACAGTACCAGATTACAGTAAAAGATAGCAGAATATCACGTTAAGCAACGTTTTCAAAATTGTGTCGTGGTGTTGTCAAATGTAACAAAACTATCTAACGTCAAAAAAAGTGTTCATTTTTCAAATACTGCTTTCAATGCCGGTTTATATCATGTTTGGATCGGCATTATTCCATTTTTGTTTTCTATTCAGCTACAATGAAAAGAATGCATATTGATTTCCTGTTCAACCCCATAGGTATTTCACCTGTCTGACAATTTTTACATATTGTGAAATCAAAACGTACAGATATTTCGTCATTTTCGAAAAACATAAATATGAAACGGGAAACATATTCTCTAAAAAAGAAATTGAACAAGAAAAAAGCAAACGATTCAAGTTTTCCCGAGGGAAGAAGGCCACAGTAGCTTAGAAATGAAGCGACAATAGCCGATGAAAATTGTCTAAAAATAGTAAGAGTGACATAACCTCGACTCTATCATTCTGAAATAACGACGGTGATATTTTTGTCATTTATATGAACGCGAATCTCTAGAGAAATACCTCCAGGAATTTAACCACAAGAATGCTGGCAAGACCTGGTAAAGATTGTGCATGTAACAATAATCTTGGTTCTACCAGCCTGAAACCTTTTTTTTTCAATATTTTATGATCCTTTCTAATCCCTTAAGACATTAACTAGTTTAGAATGCCTACAAACTTTTCCTATCAGTAGTAACAATGCCCTTGCCATTAGCCATAGAACACTTACATTCGACCCGTCAAAAATATGCTACTGTTCTTTAATGAGCACATGAATATTGAACACGTTACGTACGTACAAATGTATGTTACGGACGGAAACTTACTTATATACAGTGAACTCTTTGCACATGATTTCTTCTGCTTTCTTCCACCGCTCTTTCCGTGAAAATTGATAACACAATAAGTAAATAACTATAACTCGTTGAAGTGTAATTTTGTTTCATTCAATTCATTTTTCGTTTTCTATCAGTCACAATGGAATTAAATGCAGCCATGAGAGTAATGAAAACTTTGGTATGTCATAAAGAACATCCTTTTCGACTGTGGGACAGGTTTTGGTACACATGCACTTAAAACTGTTTTTTATCAATTGACATCATCGTTATACCGATTGAAAACATATCCGCAGTGTCATATCGCCTTTATCACTCTTCTTATCACGTAACTATGTGTTTACTTACATGGTAAAGTTTACAGCTATCATGTGTCAACGTCATTTTTATGCCAACAATTGGAATAATTCATGATTTTATCACCTTCAAATTGCTTCTATAAATAACCAACAGATCACATAGACGCAGATTTGATAACATTACAAAATAAATGAATGTATCAGCTTCATAATTCAAGTTTGTTATCACGCGAAATTTGGCGACATGTCTGAGTAGTGAACATATTTATCTGTCGTAGTCGTCAGCTGTAGGCATCTCAGTCATAAAACAGGCAAACCACAATGGAATTAGGTATGCAATCGTGATAAATTGTCATTCTGAAACGGCGCCTTCACGTCATGATAACAATATCTCGAATCAGTACCTTCTTCACGTTATTAGTTTTTTGTCTGAAATGAGACAATAATTTCCAACATATTCATTTAAAACAGGTTAATTACGTTCTATTTATATCTAGGTCAAAATCTGACGCGATTGTTAAAATATTACCGGCACCTTATATTGAATTCCGCCTGCGCTGCAGCAAGTTTCGATGTGTTCAGCCATCTGTCTGAGTCTTGCTAATGTGTTTTTGTTCTTATGGCAATGACTCCAGGCCTGACAACATCAGAAGAATAGTTGTGATTTACAGTGGGGTAAACAGAATGTCTCAAGGCTTTATATCAGAACTGTAGATGTATGTTTTTGTGGAAAAGTTAGAAGAATATTTATGTTGCTGCTTACTCACGGTGTGGTCACTAAACATCTTTAATGCCATACCGATGTAATAACATGATGCCCCGTCCAATTCGTTTATAATGCTTACAAGGTTTACCAGCAATTTTTCTCCTTATATCAGTAGTGATTATCGTCATTTTAAAAGACGACGATAAAGACTCGATGACTAAGATCTTGTTCCCCTTTCACATATGAATTTACAATAATCACTAAAGATATATTTTTTCAAGTTTACTGAAAATTCATCAGTACGATAGATTTGCCGATGTCTCCATTCCTGTTTATCGAGATAGACTTTAATAAAAGGTCAAGCAACCATTTATAAAGTTCAAGACTAAAATGGCAAAGTGTTCCGGAAGGATTAGCGTCTTCTCAACCGACGACACTATGCCTTTATATCTTGGTCAATCTAGTGAAAACACACGAAAACAAAGAAAATGAAAGCGGAACCAAGTATCTATATTACTTGATATTATGTCGTACAGGGGAGTGTAATATTTCCAAATGGAATTATTCTTACTATCCAATAAACAGGAATATGTAAAAATGATACTGTTACTATATAGATATGGCAAATTCATAAATATCGTGTTATCGAAATATTTTCGCTATTTATACAGCAATTATGAAGGTTAGATGGTGGAACAATATGACGCAACAGTTATTCCCGTATTCGCTTTGTGAAATGTTAGAGTCTTGACTATGGAGAAAAAGCGACTAGTGTGCTAGTTTATGGAATATCCATCAGTAGAAGAATAGTACTGGAGTCTCCATTGATGTAAATTAAAACAGATGTTTGCAACAGTGCCGATAATCAATACAACCAAAGTGCTGAATCGATTATGTTGTCATCAGATATCATTAATAACTTCGAAACAATCTAAACGGCGAATGAGTTCATATTTTTGTACTCTCTAATTGAGCAAAAAGTTGTCAATATATCGTGACAAGACGTGACGGTCACTCTGCCTTTTATATTATATCCATTGAACGGAAACATCCTGCCGACCCTGATTGATCTGCAGGCCATTAACGACCTACACTACGTTACAAATTGACCTCCGTTTAGAACTATGTGAGAAGAATTCGATCATCATTCCTTACCTCTCAGATTCAATTATAAAACAAAAAATGTAATCGATTCTACCTATCATATGTAAGAAATTTTCAATAATTTGCAATATGTTGAGAAAAGTATATTTGTATTAAATGGCTTCACATTGTTCTTTAAATGTATACGCTATGAGAAGCATTGGCGATGATGAAATAATTGTGTCTTCACAAGGTAGCAACAATATAGAAGACTTAAAACATAGAGATACAGTATCAACAAAGATAAAAATGTTGAAAAGATCAATAAATACACATTACAAATGACTGCAGACATTTGAACTTAAGGTCTATGGGTATAGATTATTATTTCATAAAATCACTTTATTGATGCAAGCCATATTATTTGCCTGACAGGTGCATTAAGACCATTGATTGTAGTTTGATAAAAATCCATTCCAGGGATTAGTGTTGCCTCCTTT